TTTGAGGTTGCTGTGAGCTAGGATGACGCCACGGCACTCTAGCCCGGGCAACATAGTGAGACTGTCTCAAAAAAAGAAAAAGAAAAAACAGATTAATCAACAATGAAATTTGTGTGTATACAGTATAGAGCTGGGAGAAAAAAATATGAGTGGCCCAGAATAGAAGGGCATTTAACCCCTGCTAGCCTTACTGGGCACACACTCCAGTGCCCCAGCACCCCACTCTTCATTACCACCTGGACACACCTGGACCTGCCTCCAGCTCATGGTGTCTCCCAGACAAAAGTTACCCTAGCAGAGAATGCGGATGAATTACAGGGCTCAGTTTTTAGGTCCTAACTCCTCTTCAGGTCACTTTAAAGCACTAGAAAGATGTAAGCCAGAAATTACAAGATAACAAGGAGTTTCTTGAATTCAAATTCCTTTCACTAGTGCCTGCGGCTCTGGAGAAGAAAAACGCAGCAGCTTCACTGCAAAAAGGAGAGTCTAAGAAAGTGGCCCCAAGGAGAGGGTAGGAGATCCGTCAGAAAAGTCAAACTCCCAAAGGAAGGGACAGGGTTGGAAGGAGGAAGTGGGAAGTCATATCTTTTGGTCAGCGTCATTTTAAACAGATGGATCTGTTGTCTGTCGCTCCTTGGACTCTAGACACTTGGGACAGAGTGAAGAGAACTAGAGAAAATCAAGGTCGCGTGGAAACTTGCACACAGAAATCAAAAGGTGCCCTTAATTTGTGGGTGGATTTTGTGAATAGTTTGTAAGGGTCGATTGGTGGATTGAGAACGGGGCATTTAAATGAAAAGGCTATGCACCTTACCCTTGGATGGTCACGAGTCTGGTGGGCTGTGGACGGGTAAAGAGAGGAAAAACAATCTAGGGGATGGATTTAAAGCTTCCTAGAGCATCGTAATTTATATTTTGTTTTTACAGCTAAGATTGAGAGACGACTTCAGCTAAAATAGTTCAGAGGGGGAAAAAAACCCAAAAAACAGAAGGGTGCGGGTACTGGAAGCAAACCCGCAACTTTGTGATCTAGCCCAACTGAGCTACCCAGTCATTCTAATGGCTTGTCCTTTCTTTGTTTTGAAAATATTAACTCCAGCAACATTCTTCTTGTGGATGGTCTTAACGAAAGAAATCCTCTCCTGCCTCCCACCCCTGCCTTAATAAAAAGAATGATAAGCTTGAATTCAAACAAACTCTTTGGTTTTAAACCTCACTCATGCACTCGACAGAGGACAAGCAGGCTTTTTTAAACCTGCAGGTTCCGACTGAGGAATCCACGGAAAGTTCTGCCCCTCCTAAAGGCAGCATCTGGCTAGTATGTCTGGCCCACTGAACTACTAACCGCAGGTATGGCCCACAGTAGAAAGATCCAATTTCATGCCTGAAGGACAATCTGGGCTCCCTCTGACTTTCCATTCAGTAATTTTTCCTGGCGTCTCTCAGTTCTCACTTTTCCAGCGTGTCCGAGTTTGGAATTGGAGGCTTCCTATCTGTTTGCTTCAGGTTTCCGGAGTCTGAGAAATTACATGAACAAATGGTACAGCTACTTCGGAAAACAGCAATTTCTTAAAAAAATTAATTTTAATATGTGATCTAGCAATTCCACATTTAGGTATCTACCCAAGAGCAATGAAGACATGTCTCTACTCAAAGACTTGTACAGAAATTTTCATAATGACATTAGTCATAATAGGAAAAAGTGGAAATGATCCAAATGCCCATCACCTGATTAATAGAGAAATAAAATGTATTATATCCATACAATGTAATATTATTCAGCCATAAAAAGGAATGAATTACTAATACCTGCTACAGCTTGGATGAACCTCTTTCATGCTAAGCGAAAGAAGACAGACATAAAAGAGCCCATGTTATAAGATTCCATTTATATGAAATGTCCAAAAAAAGGCAAATCTATTGAGAAAGAAAGTTAGATTAGTGATTGTCTGAGGCTAGAGATGGGAATGGGATTGACTGCAAATAGGCAAGAAGAGTCTTCTGGGTGTGATTTAAAATGTTCTAAAACTGGATTATGGTAATAGTTGCACAAATCTGTACGTTTACTAAAAAACATTGAATCGTACACTTAAAAACAGGTGAGTTTGATGGTATGTAAATTATACCTAACTAAAACTATTGTTAAAAAAGTAACAAGTGGCTGGATGCATGGCTCATGCCCATCATCCCAGCACTTTGGGAGGGCAAGGTAGGAGGATTGCTTGAGGCCAGAAGTTTGAGACCAACCTGGACAACATAGTGAGACCCCTGATTCTACAAAATAAAAAAATTAGTTGGGTGTGGTGGTGTGCACTTGTAGTCCCAGCTACTCAGGGGGCTGAGGCAGGAGGATCACTTGAGCCCAGGTGTTCAAGGCTGCAGTGAGCTATGATCACACCACTGCAACCTGGGCAACAGCACAGAGTGAGACCCCATTTCTAAAAATAAAAATAAAATAATGAGTTTAAAAGTTTTCTGAAGTGGCTGTTCCCTTTTACATTCCCAATGTTTTTCTGTCTTTATTATAGCCATTCCAGTGAGTGTGAAAAGGTATCTCATAGTGTTTATTTGCATTTCAGTAATGACTAATGATGCTACACTAATGATGTTGTGCTTATTGGCCATTGGTATATCTTCTTTGGTGAAATATTCACATCCTTTGGCCTTTTAAAAAAATTTTCTATTTGTCTTCTTATTATTAAGTTGGGATGAAGATACCTTATTTCCAGCTTAGCAATTAAAACAATTCAGTAAATTGATATTTACACAAAAATTAATAAATGTACTAATACATTAATTTTTAAAAGGTCTTCTATGGTACCATATCAAACTTTAAATAAAAGCCAAAGCCCTTTCCATAGCCTGCCAGCAAGGTTGACTCTTTAATGATTTCTCTCTTCTCATCTATGAATAATTCAAGTTCCCTCATTCTCTTCTCCATCCAACTGATTATTTATGTTCCTTGAAGGTGCCAACCAGGTTCATGACTCAGAGTCTTTGCACCTGCTATTGCTTGGGCCAGGAACCCTCTTACCCCAGATCACCTCATGCTTCCCACAGCTAGTCATTCTTGCCTCCACTCATTTTTTTTCTCCCTGCCTCCCTCCCTCCTTCCTTCCCTGCTCACTCCCTTGCCTAAACTCTTAAGTTACATTCTTAGGGAATTCTTTCTTGAGCAGAAAACTGATGAATTATGTAATTCATCTGTATAGCCTTTTACTCACTACTTATTTATTGAGCACCTACCAAGTGCTATGAAGTTTGGTATTTATGTTTGGGTGTTATGAGTGCACCAGTGAACAAAATAAACAAAATTCCTTCCCATAATAAACTTATTTCCTGGAAAATGGCTTGGAAGAGTAATGCAATAAGATATGATCACTATCAGAAAGTTACAACAGTAGAATTAGGGGACTGAGTGTCAGGAATTGTGCTATTTTGTATGGATGGTCAGATAAACCTATCTGTTAATGTAAAATATGAATGGGGAACTATAGGAAGTGATAAAATAAGGATTACAGATATTTGGAGGAAAAGAATTCCAATGAAAGCAAGGATTCTAAAAAACGAGTGTGACTGATATGCTTGTGAAATATGAAGTAACCCAATGTGGCTGGAGCCCTGAGCCCAGGAGCAAAGGGTAGGAGATAAAATCATGAAGGTAGCAGGGGGCCAGGTCATATGGACTTTTGATTAAAAAATTTTAGATTTTACTTTAAGTAAGATGGGGAACCAGGGGAGTGTTTAGAACCAGAGGGTGAGTGATTGAACTTATGTTTAATAGGATCTCTTGTCTGCTCAGTGGAGAGTTAATCATGTGGCAGAAACAGGGAGACCAGCTTAGAGGCTTCTGTGACATCCCAAGTCAGAGATGATGGTGGCTCAGAAGTGGTAGCACCAAAGGTGGTGAGAAGTCATCAGACTCTGGATAGATTTTTTAAAGCAGAATCAACGACATTCGTTGATGGATTATTCACTCACTTGACAAATATTTATTGATTCCCCACTATGTGCGCTGCTCTAGAAATTAAGCATTTGGCAATGGATGAAAGAGATGAAAATCCCTACTTTCATGGAGCTTTAGTTTCTAGTCAGAGAGATGGACTATGAACCACATATATTTTTTTAAATATATAATATTTGTCACAGTGATAAATGTTATGAAAAATAATAATGAATAAATCTGGAAAAGGAATAGAGGAGGGCTACAGGTTTGGCAATTTTTAAAAAGATTGACCATGGAAGACCTTTCTGAACAGAGGATATCTGAATAAAGATTTGATTGAGGTGAGAGGGCAAGCCACTTGGGTTTATGGAGAAATAGCAATCCACAGAGTGGAAACAACAAGGACAGGAATTCTAAGGCAGGAACAAGCCTGGGATGTTGAGAGAACCATAAAGAGTCCCAGGAGAGCAGTGATATTGTAGGGGGGGTGATGAGGACCAGAAAGGGGGACTAGAAAATAGACAAGTCAAGACTGAGGGACAGAGAGAGAGACAGACAGGAAGACTGAAAAAGAGAACTGGGGGCTGGAGAAAAAAGAGAGGGAGAGACTGAGTTTTGGGACAATTGAGGGAGACTGAAGATATGCCAAGGGGCAGAAAGAGAAGACAGAGAGCACATGGGCAATGGAGGGTTCAAGAGAAGAGAGGCAGAGGCTGAAGGACAGGAAGGCATAGAAAGGGGAAGTCTGAGGTAAATAGGGGAAGCCTGAAGAGTGGAGGGGAGAAGACTGAGGCACAGTGAGGGCTACTGAGGGGCCAAGAGAAAAGAAACTGGGTATTCAGGTGACACATCAGCAGCCTCTAAACACAGACTCTGGCGTCCCTGTCCCGCTTTAGCAGTTCCTACAGACGCTTGACCTGCCAGGAGAGGCATCTGAAAAGAAACCTGAGCTTCTGATGAAAGAAGATGAATTCAAAGCCCAGCCCCTGGGGACAGGATGAAGGCCCTCAGTCAGTGGGGGAGAACAGAGCACCTGGAGCCCTTGTGAAGAGCACTGGGCAGCATGGCCATTGGGCCTGCCCTGTGGCTGGGCCCTCTGCTCCTGCTTTCCCTCTGGGGACTCTCAGCTCCAGGTAAGAGGGGGCTGAGAGTCAAGCGGGGCATCATAAGGGGGCTGACCTGACTCCCTCCCCTCCATGTCCCACAGCCTCCCTTCTCAGGCGCCTGGGTGAGCACATTCAGCGGATTCAGGAAAGCTCTAGCCTGGGCCCAGGCCTGGGCCTGGGGCCAGGTGCTGTGGCCCTTCCAAAGGTGGGGTGGCTGGAGCAGCCGCTGGACCCCTTCAATGTATCGGACAGAAGATCCTTCCTGCAGGTGAGGCCAGGAGAGGGGGAGCCCACTGCCCTCCCTGTCCTCTCCTCAGTCCCTCAGTTTGCACTTTATTCTCTCTCTACACCTCAGGCTCCCCACCCCTCTGCCTCTTGTGCTATGCCTACTGTCAGTATCCCCTTCCAGCCCTCTGTTTTTTAGATCCTCCCTTAGTGACCTCTCTCCTTCCTCAGGGCCCTATTCTTTCCACCCCTCAGGTTCTGTCCTTCACCCTTTCCTTCTCTCTGTCATTCACTCCCACTCTCTCACTATCCCTCAGTGCACTCTTCTCCCTGTCTAGACTGGACATGAAACCTACCATCGGATCTCAATATGCAGCAGAAATCTTAACAAGCTTTGGAATCAGACTCAGCTCACAATAGGCATTCAAAAATATCTATTCAATGAATGAACAAATCAACATTTTCAGTGCCTCCTCTGTACACTGTCTCTAAAGGTCATCCCTTATGGGCCCTATTCCTATATCCACCTGCATTCATTATTTATTCTACAATTATTACTTTGAGAAATAGCAAGTGCCTTCTATGTGCCAGCCACTCCCCACTCCCCTCAGTCCTGGACATAAAAGAGTGAAAAAGGAGACAAAAATATCTGCATTTGTAGATCTTGTATTCTAGATGAGGAGATAAAAAGGAGAGAAGTGAACATATAAATAAGCTCATTTCAGATACTTCTAAGTATAGAAGGAAATATTCATTAGGGAGAGAGACTGGAACAAATGGAGTGGAGAATAAGTCAGGACTCTCGAAATGCCATTTCTTCTTCCACATCGCACCTTGTAGCGTTACTGGGTGAATGACCAACATTGGGCTGACCAGGATGGACCTGTATTCCTGCATCTGGGGGGCGAGGGCAGTCTTGGGCCTGGCTCAGTGATGAGAGGTAAGAGGAAAGGGTGAGGGGTGGGGGGAGAGACATTGTTGGAAAGCTGTGGGAACCAGGGAGGGGAGCCGTATGTTGCAATGCTATGAGACCTGAGGGGTGCATGGGCTTAAACCCAACTTGAATTCCCCCCACTTCACATCCTCCACAGGGCACCCTGCAGCCCTAGCCCCAGCCTGGGGGGCCCTGGTGCTAAGCCTGGAACACAGATTTTATGGCCTGAGTGTTCCTGCTGGGGGCCTGGACATGGCCCAGCTTCGCTTCCTGTCTAGCCGCTACGCGTGAGTGAGGGTAGGGAAAGTGTTTGTGGTCAAAGGGCAGGAATGTTTGTGTTTTGGCATCTCTGCATCTGTGTCTTTCTTCTCCACTGCTCAAATTCAACCTCTGAATCTCTGGTTCCCTCTGTTTTCCTCTGTCTTTCATAATATCTTATTCTTTCTCTCTCCAATTCTGGGTCTCTGTCTCTTTCTCTATCTTTCTCTTACCCTGTATTCTTGTGTCTGTTTCTGTCTCACTGTCTAAAGTAGATCACTATCTCACTGTGGCCTACTGGCGTAAACCACCAGCATTTCTTACCTGGATTACAGCCACAGTATCCACCCTTGTCTTCCTGCTTCTATCCTTGATTTCCAGGTGGAAGCCAGAGTGATCCTGTTAGAATATGAACCAGATCATGACCATCCCTAGCTCAAATCCCTCATGTCTCCCACATTGCTGAAAGTCAACATCTTCACAATAGCCACAAGGTCCACCACTGGAAGGCTCTGGCTTCCAGTTAACTCTGACCTCAACTCTCTCACATTCTTTGGGCTACAGCTATGAGGAGATCCTTGCTGTTTTCCAGACTTATATGTACATTCCTGCCTTGAGCTTTTGAACTCTTCCCTGTTCAAGGAGTGGCCTTCCCCCACCTCCTTCAGTGCATCCCACTCATATTAACAACCCTCACCATCTATTTTCCCCCAGCTCTATTTCTCCTGCTTTATTCTTCTCCACAGGACTCCTCTCTTCCTCTCCTCCTTGGTGTCTCTCTCTGTCTCTGTCTCATTCTTGTCTTCATCTCTCTGTCTATGTCTCTTCTCTGCATTTCAATATTTACTTCAAGTCAAACTGGTTTCTAATAGCAGCAGGATGGCACTAACTGCAGTTTCAGAAAAGTTGGGGAAGAAAGACCCTGGGAGAACATTAGACATATACCAACATCTCTTTCCATTTCTCATGTGTCTTTGCGTCTTTCCCCTCCCCAATACCTTCTATCCCATCCAGCTAAGGACCCCCCCTCCTCTGAGTAGCCCTCCTTGACTGCCCCCAACCCGTCCATATATTTGTCAGGTTTTCATCTAAAAACTGCCTTGGAAATATTTCTTCTCCTACCTAAAACGGGAAGAGAACGGGGGTGGGAGCTTTCTAGACTCCTAGGCCGGGTCTCCTTTGGCCTAGGCACACGTGCTTTCGAAAATGTATGTGAGTGTGGAGAGCCCTCATAAATACAACATGAGAAAAGAGCCCTGGCTTCCAGCCAAACTCTTCTCAATTCATGCCTCTGGGTCCCGGTTTCCCCGCCTGTGCAGTGGGGAAATCTTCAGGGATACCCAGCGATGAGTACCGACCAAGCCTCCCCTCTGACCCCAGGCTGGCCGACGTGGTCTCCGCACGTGTGGCGCTCTCCCGCCTCTTCAATGTCTCCTCCTCCAGCCCCTGGATCTGCTTCGGAGGCTCCTACGCCGGCTCCTTGGCCGCCTGGGCCCGGCTGAAGGTCCCCGGGCCTCTTCTGGGTGGACTAGGGGGAGGGAACATGGACTACGGGGTCCCAGTCTCAGATAATAGGAATACCCTCCCACCACGCCCCACCCTTCCCCTCACCTACAAGAGCTTTCCACAAGCTGTCTTCACCAGAGCCTGAGATTACACAGCGAGTGAATGACACAGGTGGGGGTGGGGGAGAAGATAGGGGGTCCCAGTTCCTCAGTCCCCAGGCTGACATCTTCTCCTTCCTTAGTTCCCCCATCTCATTTTCGCCTCCATCGCCTCCTCCGCCCCGGTGCTGGCAGTGCTGGATTTCTCCGAGTATAATGACGTAAGGACGCGGGGCAACAGGTGCGGGAGGAGGGGATTCTCCGTGGGCGGAGTTCGCAGACACCTCCCTGATACCTTCTCCTGCGGTCCGACCACAGGTGGTGTCCAGAAGCCTAAAGAGCCCGACGATTGGCGGGTCCCTGGAGGTAGGAGGTGGGGCCTAGCTCGAGAGGGCTAGGGAGAGAGTGAAAGCCTTGGAAGTCTGGGGGCTACAGAAAGAAGTTCGCGTCTTGTCGGGGTCTGAGGGAGGTGGGATCCCAACAACACACCGAGATTTTGTAAGAAGGAGGGAACTGAAGATGGGACGGGGCATCAAAAAGAGAGGAGCATCCCCCAACAGGACGCTGGGCTTGGGGAGGGACCATCCTATGCGGAGGGGGAGGCTAAGTGGAGGAGGGGGCATGCAAGAGGCGGGGCCTGGAGGAGTAGCCAGAGGAGGACGGAATCTAGGGCAACTGCTGGGTTCAGCGCCTCCGGAGGACTCTGGTTGCTGGAAAGTGGGGAACCTTGGGAGGACGCAGGTCCTCAGCACGAAAATCCGAGGCCCAGCCTGGGTCGTGGCCAACGCTGCCTCTCGCTTCTCGCAGTGCCGGGCGGCGGTGGCCGCTGCCTTCGCGGAAGTGGAGCGGCGGCTGAGTGCTGGCGAGGCCGTTCAAGCAGCGCTGGGGGCCGAGCTGGGCGCGTGTGGGTCCCTGGGCCGCGCTGAAGACCAGGCGGAGCTGCTGGGGGCGCTGCAGGCACTGGTGGGAGGTGTGGTGCAATACGACGGGCAGGCGGGAGCGCCACTGAGCGTACGACAGCTCTGCGGACTCCTCCTCGGGGGCGGGGGCAACCGCAGCCACCCCACGCCTTTCCGTGGGCTTCGTCGGGCGGTGCAGGTGAGCACCGGTCGGCACGGCTGGGAGGAGTTAGCGGACAAGTGTTCCTGCTCCACCTCTGCAGTGTGATCTTGGGCAAGCGAGAATCCTCTCTAAGCCTTAGTTTCCTCACCTGTAAAATGGGGATGACACCTCACAGGGCCAATGAGAATGTGAAATGAGGCGGGACATGTAAAGCGATCAACTGGGAGCCTGGCAGGCAGTATGCAAATGTTAGAGACTGTGATGATTATTATCTATTTTGCCTGTCTTGTTCTGTCCTCTTTTCTGAGTCTACAGCAGTGCCTGGCACATAGCAAGTGCTCAATTAGTATTCATAAAATGAAAAAATGTAGCCCCCGGGACAGAGTTCTCCTAGGGACCTGGGTCCCCCACCCTGTGAATCTATAAGACAGCTGTCACTTTTCCAGCACTGTCTGGACCAAGTGCTATGTGAAGTGCTTAACATATATTATTTAATTGAATTCTCAGGAGAGATAGGAACTATTATTATCCCCACTTACAGAAGAGGAAACTGAGGTCAAAAGGTTATCACTTACCCAAAGTCTCACAGGTAATAAGGTCCCAGTCGTCTAGTGCCTTGACCTCTAACTCACAGGGACCCAGGCATCCACCCCTCTGACTGCTGACTCCCAGGAGAACTCAGGAACTCACCCTTCTACTTCTGACATTTGACCTGTGGGGACATAGACATCTGGGCCTTGGCTCACTGGGAGGAGAGGAGAAATTTATGTATGTATGTATGTATGTGTGTTGTTCCCTAGATTGTCCTGCACAGCCTGGGTCAGAAGTGTCTAAGCTTTTCCCGAGCAGAGACAGTGGCACAGCTGAAGGCCACAGAACCCCAAGTGTCTGGCGTGGGTGACCGGCAGTGGTTGTACCAGACATGTACTGAGTTTGGCTTCTGTGAGTGACTGGCCTAACCCTTACCCGCAAAACAAATATGCTGTGCTATGCCCAGAGAAGTTATTTTACAGGCAGTTCAAACTCATTTTCATTTCCATAGGGCAACTGACCTGATTCTCAGGCCTTGTGTAACCTGTAGATGTAGGGCTGGAGAGGGTAGAAGCCATACTAGTGTGTGCATGTGCTTGGCCTTTATGTGCCTCCTTATGCACACACTCATGCATCAACATGAGTGATCTTCCCTCCAACCTGCTCTTCTTCTATGTCCCTATTCCAATGATGACCCCACCATTTCCACAATTACTAGACTAGAAACATGAGTCTTGTTTTGGTTGCTTCCTTTCCATTATCTAGATAGCCTGTCAATTACTGAGTCCTGCCTACTCTGCAACCTGGACAACTCTCTAGTCCATTCCTGCCCCTTTCTATGCCTACCCCTGCTGTCCTGGTAGAAGCCCCCATCCTTCCCTGCCTAGGTCCCTGCCCTAGCCTCCTCCCTGGTCTCCAGGCTTTCATTTCACCTGTATAATCAATCCCACTTCCACACAGCATCCAGAGAAATCTTTTAAAATATGACTTGTTCCTTTTCTGCTCAAAACCATGGCTCCTCAATAATCCCAGAGTAGGATTGCCAGATAAAATATAGAATGTTCAATTAAATTTTAATTTCAGATAAACAACAGATTTTTTAATGTGTGTCCCAAATATTACATATACTAAAAAAAAAGTATTTTTCATTTACTGAAATTCAAATTTAACTGGACATCCTGTATTATTTTGTTAAATCTGGCCACCCTACCCCAAGATTAAGTTCAAAATCCTTTCCATATCCTCTAGAAGCAGTGAGGATAGTGGTTTAAAGTCAAATATTCAAACTCCAGCTCCATTTTCTACCTATGTGATCTTGGGAAAACTCAGTCCAGTGACTTAACTCTCTATGCCTCACTTTCCACATCTATAAAATGGGAATAATAATAGTACTTCCTTCAAGGGGTTGTGTCAAGCATTAAAGTAGTAATATATGTAACATACTAAGAATAATGCTGGTATATGTAGGTATTCCGTAAATGCTCACCATTACAATATCATTATTATAAGGCTTTACATAAATTGACTCTCTTAATACACTAGTCTTCCCAGCACCTTAGGAACTTTGCACATGCTTGGAATACTCATCTTCCTCTCTTCACAGAATTTGTTCATCTTCAATTGTCAACACAAAATGTCTCCTCTCAGGAAGCCTTCCATGATTGCTCAGGATAAGTCAGCCTTCCCACTGACTTCAATAGCTCTGTGTTCTTCTCTTAGCACTTTCCACAATCTGTCATCATACGTTTTTTATTGCCTATCTCCCCCTCTGGACTGAGTCCTGTGACAACAGAGCCTGGGGCTGTCTTGGCTGCCACTGTGTGCCCAATATTGTCCAACATCTATCTGAGTATGTGGTAGGTTCTTGATAAATGGTAAAGGAAGGAAGAAATTAGTGTGAGATTAAGGAAGTTAGATTTGCCCTGAAAGCATAGTGAGCTGTGGATTTTAAGCATGGCAGATGTGATCCAATTTGAGTTTCAAGTACTCCAGGCTCCCTCTTACCTCCAGACTTTTGCATGTGCTATTTCCTCTATTTATTATGCCTTCTCTTCTCTTTCTTGGTTTGGCCCAGTCCTATTAATTTCTTAAGGTCTTTCCCTTGCAGGATGCTCTCCCTGAGCCCACCATATTTTCTCTGGGATCCCCACCTCCTGACATTTTTCCATCACAGCCCTGGTTGCTCTGGGCTGTCACTGTCTGGGGATGGTGGGCTCAGGATGCTCTCCCTGAGCCCACCATGTTTTCTCTGGGATCCCCACCTCCTGACCTTTTTCCATCACAGCCCTGGTTGCTCTGGGCTGTCACTGTCTGGGGGTGGTGGGCTCAAGATGCTCTCCCTGAGCCCACCATGTTTTCTCTGGGATCCCCCCCTCCTGACCTTTTTCCATCACAGCCCTGGTTGCTCTGGGCTGTCACTGTCTGGGGGTGTGTGAGCTCCTTTAAGGGAGAACAAGGAATGTCTTGATCATCATTGGGGAGACCTCTATAAATGATTATTAAAGGAGAGTGGGGGGCTGGCTATATACCCCACACTTACAGGTATCTCCCTCCACAGATGTCACCTGTGAGGATCCTGGATGTCCTTTCTCCCAGCTCCCAGCACTGCCCTCCCAGCTAGACCTATGTGAGCAGGTGTTTGGACTCTCAGCCTCATTTGTAGCCCAGGCTGTGGCCCAAACAAACTCCTACTATGGTGGACAGACTCCGGGGGCAACTCAAGTGCTGTTTGTTAATGGTGAGCATGCCATCGAAACCTGTCTCCTGAGTCTCCACCTAGCCCAGCTTAACATATCATCCTCTTTTCCTTCTTTTCAGGGGACGCAGACCCCTGGCATGTGTTAGGTGTAACACAGGCCTTGGGATCCTCGGAGTCAGTTCTTCTCATCCCTAGTGCCTCCCACTGCTTGGACATGGCGCCTGAGAGGCCCTCAGACTCCCCCAGCCTCCGGCTAGGGCGCCAGGTAAGAGAAAATGCTCTGGGTAATTTGCATGCTCATTTGCACGCTCCTTCCTTCTGCTGGAGTCTGACTCACAGTTCTTCCCATCTCTCCACAGAGCATCTCCCAGCACCTGCAGACCTGGCTCAGGTTGGCAAAGGAGAGCCAGGTTAGGGGTGGGGTCTGAGTCCCACACCCTCCCTACTCCCTGTGTGGCCACCTCAGTCTTGGATGTATTCAATCACTGGACAAAAGAAAGCAGCTTGTTTTGAGGAAGAAATTCCCAGGAATTAGATTCATAATCTATTCTGCATATAACTGGCTTGTGTCTGCAAATATCCTCACTCTCAACTAAAAGTGCTTTGTTATAGACAAAGAATTATGTAATACAAATGAATGATTATTCTCATTGTGAATATTGGTATTTTAAACGTTAATGTCAAAGAAATGTGTCTCCTTATGCTGGTGCCCTTCCCCTGCTAATCAGATTCCAGCTCAAATTCTGCCACTTCAGCTCCTGGGCTGGGGACCTTGGGACCTTGCTGCAAGTTCCTCTCTCTGGACCTCAGACCTTGACCCTGTCTCTGCTTCTCACTGTTTCTGTCATTGTACCCCTCTCTCAGTCTCTTCCTCTCTATTTTTTTCCTCTGTCACTATTTGTCTTTCACAATCTCCTTCTGTTTCTCTGAATATCTTCATTTCTGTCTTTCTCTGTATCTCAGTCTGTTTCTCTGTTTATTTTTCTCTCAGTCTGTGTTTCTGTCCCTGTCTCTTGGTAAGTGTCTTTGTCTCTTCTATCCTCTCTTTCTTGCTCTGCCCTGGCTATCTCCCCTGCTCTTTTTCTCTATTCTTGGTCTCTTTGTTTCTCCTGTTACTTTCTCTTTCACTCTCTATCTCTGTCCCTATATCCTTGTCTTCAGATTTTCCATCTCTCCTTTGCTGTCTTCTTAATCTATCTCCCTAAGGCTCTGTTTCCATCTCTGATACTTATTCTCTTTCTCTTTCTCTTCTTTTAATCTTTGTCCTTCTCTATCTCTTTTAGTCTTTGTTCCAAATCCTTCATTCACCATCTCTTCCCACAATGCAATGTCACTCCTAGGCACTTCCAACTTCCAACCCTAGGAGTTCAGGATTCTGATGGAAACCCTCCTCCTCCAGGGCCTGGGGGTGAGGGGGGTGCTAGTCCCAAAGGTGCCTACTTAGCCTGCTTTTAGCTGTGCTGACAGTGCCATGGTTCACCCCTCTGAGCAGCAGCCACCAGGAGCAGGAAGTAGCAAATCAGGGATACTGTCTGCCTCTAGGGAGCTGGGAAGTGGGAGAAGTAAAAGCAAGGCAGAACAATGGGGTGCTGGTAAGAGAAGCCATAAAGCCCATTCTCCTGTGAGGAAGTCCCCAGCCTTTCTTCACTCTAAACTCTTGGATTTTTTCCTACTGGTGAATGTTCCTTCTCTTCATCTCTTTTGCAAACTTCTTTTCTATTTGATATCTTAATGTTTCAGGAAAATCCTGGGATGGTATTCCACTGAGACGGAGGTGGAGAGACAAAAGAATGACTCAGACAAGTCCAGCTTAGTGATTTAGATGAGTTTATTAGAGGTTACTTACACAGGGTGCTCTCTCCTTGCCCAAGAGTTCTCTCGGCTCTCTCTCCTGGGCAGCGCAGGAGTTCTTACTGGAAGACTAAAACCGTACAACCTACCGCTGGTGTCAGTGTTGTCTTAAATCCGTTCTCAGTGAGTGACACAGAGCTCTTTCCTACATTCTATCATGGCATGTTCACATTGAAACAAATCAAGCCCACTCAGTACAATCATCATGTCCCTTCATATAAACCATGTTATGTTAATGATATGATTTTTTACTAGGTGCAGATTTTGATATTACAATTAGCTAAAGAGTATTATAGGTCAGCTAAAGCAGTTCTAAAGCAGTCAGGACTGGTTTACACCAGTTGTTTCTTCCCCAAGAAAGTGCTGAGGCACATCTCTTGTGCCTCATAACTATATTTTGGCATTTGCTTAATCTATTGTGTAACCTTTTGTTGAGCACTCCAAGCTAGCACAACACAGTGTTCCTCTTTATGTGGTGGGGAACTTGTATTTTTCCTTCATTTGAGTGGGTTTGGGTTTAGTGCTAGTGCAGGGAAAAAAACATTATTTCTTTTTTTTCCCTTTTTAGGTTCTTAGTCGAGGCACTCTCCTGAAAGCCGGATTAACAAACAACAACAAAAATAGCAGAAGCTTATTAGCCATGCAGGTGGAGAGGGAGGCCTCAGTTCTAAAGTATTTTTCTCTCCAGGCAGTAGCTTAGGGACTTTGCTTAAATAGTAGTATTTTAACAAAGAGCCTTAAATCCTATATTGTGACAAGACAAAGAAAAGAGTATCTTCAGGCTTCTGAAAGGTAGAAAAATGTGGGAAGGCAAATTTATGGGAAGAGTAAAGTCTGCTCCTAGGTCCTCTGGCACTGCTGTCTCTGAGCTCTGTTTCTGAACTAATAAGCAAGTGTTGTAAAAAGGCCTATTTTTAGTTGAGAAAGGGGGTGGGCAGAGCTTAACCTTTTAACCTTAACTCAAATCCCCAGTATTTTAGAGAGGAATACTTTGGTTTCTTTCACGAGGCTGCCTTCTCTTCTCAAGCATTCTCAGAACTTCCCTACAAGTGTGCCTGTGGTACCAGGTCTAGCTAAGTGCCAAGATATAGATTATCTCAGCGGCTGGGGTGAACCATGGGTCTGGAGTTGCCTGAGTGCCCAGGCTGGCTGCACTTGGCTAAGCAGCCTCATTTTTTCACCCAAGATTGTTATACAAATATTATTACTGTCTGTGTCAGTCTGTGTAGAAAAGGATGGAAAATTCTGAGATACACTCTCTTGCTAGTCTCCTTGCCCCATCCTTGGCCCCTGCTGTCCATTCTCCTCCCAGCTGCCACAGTGATTCTTTTTTTTAACTTTTTTTCTTTGACTCTCCAGCAAATGCAGAAATCCACAGTGATTCTTTGAAAAGGTAAATCAGATTGTGATACTCCCCTGCTTAAAACCCTCAAATAACTTTCTGCTACAACTAGAATCAAATCCAAACTCCAAAGTATCCATGGCTACAAGGCGCTGCATACTTTGACTCTTTAACCCTTCTCTGAACTCATCTATCACTGCACACTAACCACATGGCCTCCTTTGGTTACTTAAAATCTAAAGCTGGTTCCTACCTCAGGGTCTTGTATTAGCTGTTGCCTCTACTTAGAAGGTTGTTCCCTTTAATAACCCCTAGACGGCTGCTTTCTTTGTAACATTCAGGCTCAACTCAAATGTCACCTCCTCTCAGAAGCCTTCCCTGACTACCTCCTTGCCCCACTCTCTGTCACATTACATGTTTTATATGTTTCCCAGCCATAATCACTACCTGATATTACCATTTTTCATTTTTGTTCAACCCCTTTGTATTAGACTACACTAGAGTGAAACTAGAGGGAACTGTGCTATTCTAATAAATATACTCGTATGAATTCCATATTTCACAACCTCTAGTTTTTACGTGAACATTCTTTTCCAGAAGTTCATCAGTTTACTGGACCAAAGATTACAAAACATTTCATAGAACCAGGAAGGATTGGTTTATTTGTGGTTTATGTGCCTATTACTTTCATTTTTGGGTTATGCCAGCATCATTGAAAAGAATTAAATTTTAATGAAGATAAATAGTGTTGAGGGATGTAGAAGTATTGTGTTCTGCTGATCCCTGGTTTGTCTCATACAATTTCACCTTTCAGTATGATCAAGTGAGGCTTCTGTCCTAGGCACTGTGCTTTAGAGGTTTCTGCTCTGCCTTGAGTCCAGGCATAACCCTCTCTCAGAGACAAGAACTCTCCAGGGCCTTGTAAATATGCCTACTCTATGTTCCCTCACTAGACGACACTCTCAACATCACATATAAGAAGTGTCTCCAATTGTGTCTAGAGAACAGCAAAGGTGGAGAACTCACATTACCTGATCCAAAGACTTCCAATAAAACTCCAGTGATTGAGAAAATGTGATTTTGGGATTAGCATATAAACAAATAATAGGGCAGGACAGATATGAGAAACACTCACACACATATGATGTGTACCTGCCTATCTTCGTGTCCAAATTTCCCCTTTTTATAAGAATACCAATTATATTGGTCTAGGGTCCAGCCTAATGACCTCATTTTAATTCAATTAACTCTGTAAAGACGTATTTCCAAATAAGGTCACAGTCTGAGGTACTGAGGATTAGGACTTCGATATATCTTTTTTTGGTGGGGAGGGAAGAGGGGGCCAGAGTTTGACTCATACCTATAACACCACCCAAATGATAGCAAGTGAAGACTATTTATTCAGAGATTGCTATACTGAGGGAGTCAGCCACCATCACTTGTGTTTGGCAGAGACTGACAGGCAGAGGAGTGAGAAAGCTTTATAGTGGGAAAAAAGAGAAGGCTTTAGGTATGTCCTAACTGGAGGCTGTTGGCATAGGAAAGCTGTAGGCAGACCAACTAGAAGAGGGGCATCCTGTGTGATTGGTTGGGGGTGTATATTTGGTGTTGCCTGTTTGGTCCTAAGTTAGAAGCAAGGGCAAAAATTAGAGAATTGTGAGTCATTAACCAAGTCCTGGCCATTTGGAGCCAATTGGTACAGGAATTATTGTTTGGCTTCCCTGATTGGTTGCTACAGATAGTTATTTGACTTCCTGGACTGGTTACTGTAAATATTAATACTATAATAGGTTGGCTTCCTGGGCTGGTTACTTGGTTTAGATCACAGTTCTATTTTTACATAGAGTTTGACCATTGGCCATTTGTATATTCAATCTTTCCCCTTGGATCTCATGTGGCTTGAGGACTGCTCTTTAAATACAGGGAGTTTACAAGTCTGCCCTGCATTCAGCCAGACACAAACTACCCTCTCTCATCTCTCCTGAGCAGATGTGGCCTTGTGTTGTGCACAGTCTTTCAGCCCACCGGAGATGAGTGTGATCTTCACAGGGCCCTCTTTGGCTCTTTTCCCCTAGATATCCCTGTTAAATTTCTGGTAGATTTCTAAATAAATCCACTAATTTGTAGGCTCCTACCCTACTAATGTCCTTGAGATGTCAGCCTTCCCTGATTACTCTTCACCTAGATCTCTTTTGTTTTCAGCCGTGCCCTTGGGCATGGATTTTTCCATGTTCT